ATCACCACCGTTACGGTATAGAATCCACGACGTATTAAGCGAATGAAGTCCCCAACACTCACTGAAGCGAACTAAACTCCTTTTAAGGCGGGAGAAAGAGCAGATTGGAATGTGTTGTAGTATGTGGCTGCTGGTGAAGACAGAGCCTTCAATAAAAAAAGCCCAGCCAGCTCTCATGTTGGAGCCTCATGTTCTCCCTATTTTTTCTTCTGCTCCTTATCCCACATCTCGCATTGTTTCCTCTGGAGTTTAGCAGTGCCCAGCGTGAGTAGATAAGCGGTGAGAACTACTCCGGCCGCGCTGAGATTGGACTTGAGGTCATCGAACCCGAAAGCTACTTTCAAAATGCTTTGAATGGTACCTGAAGAATGCAGAAATGTGATACAGCATGAGATGTGTCAAACGGAAGCTCATAAAAATGCGAACAAACAATTTCCCTGTTAACAGGATATATGGCTAGTCGTAATAGCATTAATGATAAACGTAGATACATAATATGTAAGAGTAAATATTATTAACACCATTATTACGTATCTATAGGGGCATAATCATCATATACCATACAGGAATATCCATAACAATATCATATAATTGTCATACGTGAAGTGGCGTAAAACTCGGTGAAAAACGCGATATCCGCGGCGGCCTGTAGTAGTCGTGAAATCTGTTTTTCAGTAGTGTATTTCATATCACTAGGGTGGTGAAACTCCATTGTATTAATCCTACACCTAGGATAAAATTATAAATACCTATTAACTATACCATTACGCCCCAATGGGGTATATTAATGAGATTATTATTGACAGTATGAAGTGGTCGTTACTGAAATAAAGAATGTGTACGATTAGGTAGCTGGGGATGGTGAACTGTAGAATGCCCTTCAAGGTTCCTTTGGTCATGCGATACCTATGGGGAGGGATTCGAAGCTCCTATGAAGTTGCTGTATATGGCACTCACTTGAAACCGTATAGACATCTTACGGTGACCCAGAGAGCTCCACAGGCAGCAGCGAAGGTGGGGCGTCCACACAATGCACACATCCACATTGTGAAGAGCATGTGGTTACCTACCAAGAATAAGAATACAACACCAGGTTGTGGTAAACGTAGCTCTAGTCCTACTGTTCTCAAGTTGATTTATATGCACCCTCATGGCTCGAGCAAGCGGTTCTGGGGCGCCCTCGGATCCTTTCGGGAAACCCCAGTTAAAGAATGTGCCTGCATGTACGTATGAGGTCATCCTAGGTATGATCTTAGCTTACGACTAGCTCCGATGCAAATGAAGTCAATCATCCCATACTGCAT